GTGCCCTTCACTCCTGCAGACAATCCCACTAGTCACTGTGGCTCCCAACTGCATCTCTCTCTTTCCTACCCTCTTCTATGGGGCCTCTTCTCTACACTTAGCAGTGGAGAGCCTGTTCTGCTAGTCTTCAGGTCATTTTCTGGATTAGTTACACTGATGTGTGTGTTATCTAATTGTATCCATAGGACAAAGTGAGCTTAGAATCCTCCTCCTTCATCTTCCTGGGAACTACCCCCATGTCTTTTAACTCTTTGTATTAGAGTTTTAGTGATTTACCCACCATAATTGGAACATTAGAGTGTTCTGAATTTAACTATATGTTTACCTTTACCAATGAGCTTGAAACTTTCATATGTTTTCCTGTTACTATTTAGCATTTAAAAAAATCAGCTTAAAGAATTCCTTTTAAAATTTAGTGTAAGGCCAGTCTAGTGGAGATGAATTCCTTCAGCTTTTCCTTGTCTGGAAAACTCTTTATCCTTTAATTCTGAAGGACAACTTTGCCAGGAAGAGTATTCTTGGTTGGCAGGCTTTTTTTTTTTCCATTCAGTATTTTTAATATGTCATGCCATTCTCTTCTTACCTACAGATTTTCTGTTGATTTTCTCATAAGGGTTTCCTTATACACAAGTAGTTTTTCTCTTGCTGCTTTTAAGACTCTCTGTCTTTGGTTTTTAACAATTATAAAGTGTTTCAGTTTAGATCTCTGGATTCATCATATCTGGAATTCACTAGACTTCCTGGATCTGGATGTCTGTTTCTTTTCTCAAGTTAAAAAAGCTTTGGGCCATTATTACTTTAAATAAACTTTGTGCTCCTGTCTCTCTTCTCCTTCTGGGACCCCTATAATGTGTATGTTGGTCCTCTTGATGGTGTCCCATTAGTCCCTTAAGCTGGTTTCACCCTTTTAAATTTTTTTTCTTTCTGCTCCTTTAATAGAATTCCACTACCCTTTGGGTCCTCTGATCCTTTCTTCTCTTGGATCTAGTCTGTTGTTGAACCTCTTTGTTGAATTCTCCAGTTCAGTTACTGTATTTTCACTCTGTGACTTCTTATGCTCTGTGATTTTTGGTACCTTCTTATATTTTCTGTCTCAATTGAAATTCTTACTTTGTTCATGCATTGTTCTCCTGACTTGGTAAACATCTTTATGATGTTATTTTGAATTCTTTATGAGGTAAATCACCTGTTATTGTCTCATGAAGGTCTGTTTTTTAGAGTTTCAGCTTATTTTTTTGCATGGAATATATTCCCCTGTTTCTTCATTTTTCTCAATTCTGTGTTGGTTTCAGCCACCTTTCCCAGTCTTGACAGAGTGGTATTGTGTAGGAGATATACCTTATTGATCATCCGGTTCTGAATTCCTTATTGTTTTTCAAACCTTTGTGATTGTTCAGCCTTCTTTGTTCTCGGTGGATCCCGGTAGTTGAGGGTGTGCCACGATTTGTCAGTATTCCAAAGGGGATGATGATCTCAGTCAGCACCTAGGTGCAGACTGTCTGAAGTCTAGACCCTTGGGTAACAGCCAGGAAAGGGTGTAGTTGGGATCCTTACAGGGAGAAACTGAGAGATGGGCTTTATTATTTGTTCCCTCAGTGCTGGGCTTACGTTTGTAGGCATGAGGGTGTGCTCCTCTGCCTACTAAAAACTGCTTAGTTTGCCACAGTCCTGCTGGACATATGAATGTAAACCCTGTTGGCTACAGAGTCATGTAGTCCAGAGGCCAGTCCCTTCGGCAACAGCTTCAAAAGCTTGAGTGCTAGATGAGTACAAGCTCCTTTCAAGAAGATACTGGAATTTTTTTTTTTTTTTTATACTGGAAATTTGAAGCAGACTCTAGGGAAAAAGGTGGAGGAGGTATCTGGTGCTCTAGAGGATCATAATCTCCTAGACATGTGCTAAATTAGAAAACTGACCCTCAGGCAGAAGCTTTTAAAGTACATAAATAAGACTCTTTCAGGGAAAGACAAAGAGGTGGACTATTTTTGCCAGCTGCTTCTGTGCTGACTCCTGGTAGATAGCCATACCACATTGTTGTGAGCCCGTTAAGAACTGTTTTTCTATTTGCTCTAGTCTTGTAGGTCTCATGAATAGATTTTTAGAGCTAGGTGTTTTAGTACACATCCCTGAAGTGGTAGTTTTAAAAGTTGGGGTGTTAGAGGTGGGGTCCATACACTTCACTCCTCAGGGAGAATCTGGGAGTGAAGTGTTTCACCCACAGAATGGCCCTTTTGTAGGTATTTTCTCATTAACCCAGTGTGTGGCTGTTGCTCAGCTGGCTTCTTTGAGAGGGAATTGCTCCATGACTAGGTGTAGATTCAGTGTGTCTTGGGAGGAATCACTTATGTCATCATCTTGGACTAGAACTTATTCAAATACAGACTTAATTATGTTTACGTTAGAAAGTTCCACCCTTGATGTACCTACAAGTAGGAGCATTTTTCATTAAACAAAATTCCTTTATATTAAAAAAAAATTTACTATACACTATTTTCCAAATAGCTCATTGCTGCTGAGTCAGCCCTATTGATTAAGGCAGTTTAGTGTAGAATTTGGAATTAATATCACTACTGCTGCATAGAGATAAAAAGTTTTAATATTAGTTCAAAACTGCCACTATGTATGAGATTTACATTGCTAGCTAAGACCTTACAAAAAATGTTCACTAACAGCTCTGAAGCAATAAATAATTTTATTACAAAATGGAAGTTATTAAAAAGCAAAAAAATTCAAATATTTTAGAAATATTTCTAGTTACTAAGCTGAGCACGCAAATTCCTTTTGTAACATACTTGTTATTCACAGTACTAAGGAAAGCTGAATATACATATTCTTTTTTTTTTAAGATTTTATTTTTAAGTAATCTCTCCAACCAACATGGGGCTCGAATTCACAACCCTGAGATCAATAATCACGTGCTCCACTGAGCCAGCCAGGCGCCCCTAGACATAATCTAAAATTATGTTTAGATTGAACAGTCTGGTTTTTTAGAGACATGAATATATCTAGTGTTCTGGAGATTTACAACAATTATATAAAATTATGTAACTTCACTATAAAAAATCGACTCAAAATTTAAAGATTCTGCATTGTATATCCTTTGTTATAGTTATCTCTGCTCACTTGTTAATTACTACTACTGAGATAAATAGAATTGGATTGCACTTAATTATTCAGAAGTTTTTGACAGTAATTCTCAAAGTCAATATTAACTGGCTCTAAAGTCTGAACCAAAGAATAGTTAAGGAGGATAGAAGGAAAAAAAAGCTAACAAGAGCAGAAGCTGGCATAACTATAACAATTAGAAGTAGCTATAAATAATGGACAACAATTCCATTGACAGCAGCAGTAAATGACAGAGAACAGAAACAGAAGTGAGGGAGAAGAAAGAACAGTGTTTGAGACAACTGATCTTTCCAGCTCACTTCCTGTAATACCCTCACAAATACCCTATCATTTGAGGTTAACCAGAGTAAAGGCAAAGCTTAGACCATTTTCTGAGAGCCCTAAGGATATTACTTTATTATATAATAGTGACCACAACAGTGGAATTCTCCAAGTCTTAATAAGTTGAATTATGTTTAACGTATTCAGTTATACTATATTTCATTATAAAAGCCAAGTGTTAAACTGAAAGTTACATGGACTCGATTTAGCTAAGATAGCACAATTCTCAATTATGGCTAGATAACTGTGGCTAGAGTTAAAAATTATTTCAACTGCACAGAACCCTGTATGTGTTAACTCTATAGCTACTTTATTGTGATTATCAGAATGTAAATACAAGATTTACTACAAAAGTTGGCACTCTAGCCACTTGTAAATAATGTTTACCTAGAGAAAGTAGTACTGAAATAAGCACGTTAAACTTTCATTTTGTAATGTATTCTGTGGTTATGACAGTTTTAGTAAGCAGAATATTTTTAGAAAGAATAGATACTATCAGATTAAAAGTGACCAATTTAGAAATGTATATTTTATGGATACCTATAAGAAACAGAAAATGTATTTGAACAGAAGACTACTAAACATTATTTAACTTAGGTCTCCTCTTCATTTTTTTAGGCTTTATGGTTTTTCAGTATACGCAGTCTCATTCTTGGATTCTCAAGTTGGGTCAGAGGATCCAAATGAAGGACATGGAAAAAATAGTAGAAATGAAAAGTTTAGGGGCACCCGGGTGGCTCAGTGGGCTGGGCCTCTGACTTGGGCTCAAGTCATGATCTCAGGGTCCTGGAATCGAGCCCTGCGTCAGGCTCTCTGCTCAGCAGAGAGCCTTCTGCCTGCCTCTCTGCCTTCTTGTGATCTCTCTGTCAAATAAATAAAACCTAAAAAAAAAAAAAGAAATGATAAGTTTAATATTTCATAAATCAATCCTTACTAAATCACTTTTTGAAAGGTTTTTCTTTGAGCTTTGCGCAGTGGCAGTATCGCAGCCAATGAGGTTTATCCGAGGTGCAATTATTGCTAATTGAAAGGTTTTTCTTTGAAAAATTTCTGGTATAATGAAGCTTTCTTGTAATGAAGACATGTGAAGCATAATAGTTAACATAAATTTATTTCCTATTAGAAATTTTAAAGGGAGTAGTTTTTTTAATGTATTTGTGTGTGTGTGTGTGTGTGTGTGTGTAAGATTAGCAAAATATAGTGTACCATTATACTTTTGAAGAGAAATTTTTAGATGTAAGATTTCAGTCTTAAATAGAAATTGATACTATTATCATTAGCACTTAAAATCGAAAAACCTTGGTATAAGGAAAATCGAGTTTTCATGGAATTCCTTAGCATAGTTTTAACATATTTCAAGTGAACATATGTAATTGTCTCAAAATGAAGGGTTTAAACAGAGCTTGGAAAAGTCTCATGGGTTGTTATAAAAGGAATATGTGTTCTGGGCAGAAGGTTGACTTAGAAAATCATGGACTCCCAGAAGACATCTAAGTAACTTTTTCATTTAACAAAAATGTCTAAACACCTACTATGTGCCTATTTTTCTATAGGAATCAGAATTAACCAGATTACAAGCCAAAATTTCTGGACGTGAAAGGGCAGAAGACCTCAAGTTTCTACCAGCCCTGCTTACATCTGCAGCAGAAATTATGCCGGACATTCAAGATCCAAAACTTGCTAAACATTCTCACACAGCTTTTATCAAGTATAGAAAGCTACGTCGCTCTATTAGTGCCAGCGACCTTAGTTTCAAGACACGTAGTGATGAAGATCTTTCTGAAGAATTACTACAGGACTTAAAAAAAATGCAGTTCGAACAGCCTGCAACATTAGAAGAAAGCCAGAAGGATCTGACTTATACCCAGTCAGACTCATTTAAACCTCTCACGTATGACCCAGAAGATGATAGTTCTGAGAGTAATGACTTCAGTACTCTCAGTGGAATGCTAAGATACATAAACAAGGAAGTGAGATTATTAAAAAAATCTTCTATGCAAACAGGTGCTGGTTTACCTCAGGTATGTAATGTCATACACTCGAAGTTATAATAATTTGTCTCCAGTGAATATCATTTTGTTATTTGTAGGAAAATCCATATATTTCAATGAAGCATGCTATTAAGTGATATACAAATATTGAAAGTTCAAAAAAATCCATTGTAAGTAGGTTTGAAAATTTAGCCTTGACTCTGCTCAGCGGGGAGCCTGCTTCCCCCTCTCTCTCTGCCTGCCTCTCTGCCTACTTGTGATCTCTGTCTGTCAAATAAATAAAATCTTCAAAAAAAAAAAAGAAAAAAAAAAAAAGAAAATTTAGCTTTGAAAATTAACTTTGATTAAAACAGCCTATACATTTAATTAAATATAATCTATATTTGATTAAAGAACTAAGTCTGCCTACTTTTAGGGAAGTATTTTGAACTCTAGAATAAAGTTGACCCTTGAATAATGCGGGGGTTAGAAGCACTGACCCCCTGCCTCCCTCTCCCACCCCAGTACAGCTGAAAATCCGTATATAACTTTTTTAAATTTACTTTTTTATTATGTTATGTTAATCACATCATACAGTGATTTTTCCCAAAACTTAACTAGTAATAGCCTGTTAACTAGAAGCCTTATGGGAAGCTAAGCAGTCAATTTAACACATGGTTTGTATGTTATATGTATTATATACCGTATTCTTATAATAAAGGAGGCTAGAGAAAAGAAAATGTTAAGAAAATCATATGAGAAAGTACATTTACAGTACCAGATATTATTGATACTGTAAGTTTATAAATCATCTGTTTACATTTTGTCAGTACGTATATCAATACTGTCTTATACCAAACACTGTAGATGTTATATACATAACACTAGATATCAAAAATGAAAAGGTAATGTAAAAAATAAATTCATATTTATTTACAGGTATAATAATTCATGCATTGAAAAGGAAGCAGTAGCAATATGAATGCTTTATGGTAGCTTAGCCTATACACTAATGGATGAATAATAAAACTTTTATGGCAAACAATATTCTAGTCATATTTATAATACAGCACTGGAAACAGTGTTATATTTTCTTAAAAATCACTTACTTGTGATGATGGGCTGTTGTGCACCTTCTTCATTTAATAGAGAGAAGGACACACTGTATGGTGTTATTCTTTGAAAGTGAAGTTATAAAATGGTAAAAAACATTATGAAGTTTATATTACCTATTACTCACCTTTAATCTATGTAAGGATAGTCTGTCCACTTCCATACAAATCTTGTACCTGATGTTCTATACAATCAGTACTTAGGTGATGATGACACAGAAATGTCTCACAGTTCTTGTCATACATTACTATGTTTTCACGTGAAAACACCCATACAAAAGATAAGGTAATTAACCATGCAGCATGATTATTTGTTAAATTAAAGTGGATTATCATAAAAGTCTTCATCTTTGTCTTCTCACTGAGTAGGCTGAGAAAGAAGAGGAGTTGATCTTGTTGTCTGAAGGGTGGCAGAGGCAGAAGGGGTAAGAAGTGGAAGGGGAGACAGGAGAGGCAGGTACATTTGGTGTAGCTTTATGGAATACATCACTATTTCTGTGTGATTTTTTTTTCTTTTTTTTTTTTTCTTTTGCATTTCTTTTTATACAATACCAATCCAACTTCCACCATTTGCTCAGTGATTTTCTTTTTCTTTTTTTTTTTTTTTTTTTGAAGATTTTTTATTTTTATTGATTTGAGAGAGAGACAGTGAGAGAGAGCATGAGCAAGGAGAAGGTCAGAGAGAGAAGCAGACTCCCCACGGAGCCGGGAGCCCGATGCGGGACTCGACCCCGGGACTCCAGGATCATGACCTGAGCTGAAGGCAGTCGTCCAACCAACTGAGCCACCCAGGCGTCCCTGCTCAGTGATTTTCTAATGGTGTTCCAGAACTGTCTGCTGCTGCTGCTTGGCTACCTTGATATTTTTTAGGCCAAACCCATCTCTAAAATTATCAAACCATTCTCTGTTGGCTTTAAATTCTCCAGCTTTAGACCCTTCACCTTTCATTTGCTCTAAGTTATTGTACAATGACTTTGCTTTTTCTTGAATTGTATTAGAGTCTTATAGGCATATGCCTTTCTTACAGCATTCATTTACTCTCATAAAAGTTGCATTTTCAACACAAGATAAAAAGTGCAAGGTTTTCATACCTGCCCGCCGATCTGTAGTGATGGCTTCACAAATTTCCCTTTTTTTTTCTTTTTTTTACAATGGTCCTTACACTGGATTCATTTTCCTCAAAATGGCGGGCAACCACAGCTGCATACCTCAATCTATGGTACATACCAAGCAATTCAGTTTTTTCTTGTAATGACACAACTCTTCTCTGCTTCTTGGGAGCACTTCCAACATCACCAGCAGCACTTCCTACGGGTCCCCTGATGTTTTTCAGAAGTTTATGGTATTGCACTAAACACCAAAAAAATATGTGAGAACTGCAAGAGGTCACTTTTTTATTGCGATACATAATTTTACTGGTGAGACGAACTGCGATTAATGTCACACAGTGTTTTAAGCAATACAGCATTTGAGCTCACCACGGTAGCAGCAGGTGGTGGCTGCAAGATTACTACAGTAGTACTGCATTTACTTTTGTGCAGTTATTTAATCTTGCATCTTTACATTTGTTTACATTTCCACTGCAGATGGCACCATATACAGTCTCTGTGTGTGTAAATTTTGATAAATCTTAACTTTTTATAATAAATTTGTATATATTTTATGCACTTATGACATACATTTTTCTTAATTTTTCAGTAGTTCTAGGCTGTGAGGGTCTTCTGTTTTTACAAATTGCTGCAAATCTCCAAAAAAAAAATTCCAATACATTTATTGAAAAAATTAGTATATAAGTGGACCTGTGCAGTTGAAACCTGTTATTCAAAGGTCAACCTATGTTATTCAAGGGTCAGCTGTACTGGAAAATGTTTTTGGAGTTCCAAAACTTGTTGTGTTTCTAGACTTCCTGGAAACCATTCTAGTAAAAAATTAAGGTGACCTTTGTTTTGTTCATAGACTTCCATAGCGGCAGAGTATCTCATTTACATGATTTTCTACTTGTTATTCCTTGAGCATATCATAAATAGGCAATTCTGTTCCTATTACACATACCTTACACTCAACATTTAAGATTTTCTTTATTTGAGAGAAGAGAGAGAAAGAGAGAACCTGTGTTCAGGAGCTGGCGGGGGTGGGGGGGGGGGGGGGGGGGGGGGAAGGGGGGTGGGGGAGGGGGGGGGGTGGTGGGCAGAGGCAGAGGGACAAGCAGACTCTGGGCTGAGTAGGGAGCCTGATGTAGCCCTTGATCCCAGAACTCCAAGATCATAACTTGAGCCAAAGGCAGACACTTAACCACCTGAGCTACCCAGGTGCCCCTCAATATTTTTTTAAAGCATTTAATCTATAATTTGCATGCAGAAATAAAGAATCCCTTCCAGAGAAATCCAGCTTTTTCCAGTGCTCATTTTTTTCATTTTCAAACATATCAAAATAGCACTGGTGGCCTAAAAAGTTTTTAAAGCATTTTTAGATGGGATCCAAGACAAAGACCTTCATTTTTCCACATTGAAAAGAGCTTAATTTACTACTTAAAAGCAAAACACTATTTAAGTAATATTCTTGTTAAATAAAATTTTCAAATGAAATTTCAAGTGGTAAACTAGGCAATTGTGTATAATGCCTGATAAAATCATATATAATACCTAAAAATTAGTTTTCATATAGCCTTTAAAACTAAGGTTGTATTTATTTTTATCACTTAATCAGCCATTTCATTATTTATTGAACATCTACTATACACCAGGCACTAGAATTATAGAAATAAACAGAAATGACAACGACCCTGTCCAAACAGAGTTTATGTTTTAGTGGGGAGATCATCAGTAAACAAATAAATAGACATATGCTCCAGTGCTAGATGGAAATATGTAAGAACATGCAATGTGATGGGGGTACTGTTTTAGACAGGGTGGTCAGGGAAGAGGTCTCAGAAGGTGACATTTGATCAGAGTCTTGTAGGAAGTCAGAAGTAAGCTATCCCAATATCTGAAGGAAGAGCATTGGAGGAAAGGGAACAATAGACACTGAAGTCCTGGGGTGGTGACCTGCCTGATAGGCGCAAAAAACAGCTAGAAGGTATTGCTGGTTTGGTATAAACAAGAAGGAAAGTAGTAGGAGATAAGAGATGATGCTAGTTGTTGGGTTTTAAGGTGGGGGTGCTCCAGCAGTGTTACCGCTCCTGTGAGAACTTTGGATTTTATTTGAAGTGGGATGGGAAGCCATTGGAAGGTCCTGCTTAGGGGAGTGACGTTTATCTGATTTATGTTTTTAAAGAATCATTCTGGCTCTTTTAGGAAGAATGGATGATAAAGGAGCAAGAGCAGAGACTATCCAGGAGGTTACTTGTAATAATCCCCACAGGAGATGATTTGGGGTAGGGAGGAGGACAGATGTGGAATTGTTGAGAATAGTTCCATTTCTGGATACATTTTGAAGACAGAGCCAACAGGATTTAATGTAGGTCTTGAGTGAAACAGTAGTTAAGGAAGACTCCAGAGATTTTGGCAAGAGTAACTGAGCTTTCACTCAGTTGGGGATACTAGGAGATGAGCAGATTTGGAAGCATGGAGAGTTCAAAAGATTGACTTTAGATAAATTAAATTTGAGATTTCTATTAGATGTCCAACTGTAGATGACAAACAAATGACTGGGTTAATGAGGCTGAAGTTATAAATTCAGGTATCAGCATATAGATGGTTGTCAAAGCCATAATGCTGGATTAAGTCCAGGGAATTAGTGGAGGTAGAAAAAGCAGCTCCCAAATTAAGCCTAAGTTAGTAAGGCTAAATTATTTTTAGCACTCAAGAATTTGAGGATCCAATAAAGCTGAGATTTAAACATAGACATAGAAAAAATAAGGAAAATGTAATATAGCACATGTTTCAGAAAAGATTAAATGTTGCTAAATAAAGTGAGGATTAATAATTGATATATTTGGCATTGTGCAAGCTGTTGGTGGCATTTATGAGAAAGGCTTTAGAGTAACAGGATAAAGCCAGCCTGGTTAGAGTGTGATCAGCAGAGAATAGGAGAAGAAAAGGAAACACCAAAAACAGGCAACTCTTTTGATGTAAAGAAATGAGGGAGATGGAATGTCAAGAGAGAGTTTTGTTTTGTTTTGTTTTTTTAGAATAAGAGATAAATAGCATTTTATTGG